CATGAAAAACTTCGCCTGAGCAGCTAAGTAATTGAAATGTCGAGGAAAACTAGAACATCCATGAAATTTCTTTTCAGAATACAATCCAAACCAAACTGAATATAAAGACTTTACATGAGCAGTGAGGTAACTGAAATCTCGAGGAAAACTAGAATATCTACCTAAGTTCTTTACAAAAGTAGAGTATCATCCAAACCAAAATCAAGTACAAGGAACTTTACAGAGCAGCTCTGCAATTGCAATTTCAAGGAAAACTAGAGTATAATCCTTAGGAAACCAAATACAAATAACTTCACAGAGCACTTATGTAATTGCCATCTCACGAGAAAACTAGAATATCAATGTTTCACAAAAGACAGACTATCGATGATCTTTTAAGAATTGAGGGATGACAGATAATAAATGGAGAAAATATCGGATATACGAAATAAATTAATCTACATAAATGACTGACCTTCTGCAATTCCAGGTACTCCTGTAGTAAATTTTGCTGTTTCATCCTAGCCCTAATTTCCTCGTCGGCAAATTGCGACTGATAAGAATTTTCGGAGACCCTTTTCATCTTGCTCCGAAAATCGAATACCCAATAATGGAATTTGGAAATCGTATGATAATGACACAATGCCGGGTCAAATATATTTAAAAGATAGGCAAACTTTTCAATCCATCATATAACGGGCGGGGGGAAGACAAATCCAAGTCCAAAAAGGAATCGGAGTCGAGAAGGTGAAGGAATAACAACAAAAAAGGAAATTGATGAGAATTTAGAAAAGAAAAAGAAAAAAGCCTTCACAACGGAATTCTAGAAATCCCAATTCGCTGGACAACTCTGAAAATCATCGAAAGAATACCGATACCCAATTCAAAACAAGAAATGAATATTAGAGAAAGAAAACGAAAAGGGCAAACAGAGAAGGAGGCAAAAGGCAATAAAAAGGGTAGTGAATTAAAAGGAGAGAGAGAGAGAGAGAGAAGGTTCTGTGTATCTGGAAATTTCCTTCTGGAAAACTTGGTTGAGCCGAAAAAGCCCATGAAGAAGGGAGAGAATGAGGAAAGATAAAGGTATATGTTTGGAGGAGGAGGAGGAGAACTGAGGACATATCTATCTGTCCGTCTTTCCATCTTTCTTTGTTTTGGTTTCGTTGATGATAAAATTCGGGTCCAACTCAACTGGGTCATATTAAGAGAGAAGGGTGTTTGTGTTGCGATGGTAGACAGAAAATGGTAGGAAGCAGAAAAGGCAGAAGATAAATCTTTGTCCACCTTCTGGTTTTTAGATTAACTGAGAAGTATAAATTCTCATTCTTAAACCCAATTATACTTTGAATCCCTTGATAGGGACGGAAATACTATTCACGCTTTCCTGTTAACACATCCGGCAAGGCAGTTTACTTGGGAAATACATTCTAATATATGATTTATGTCTGTCTTCAATCTTTTCCAATTCATAATCCTAATTCTACCTTCTACACGCTTAGAATCTAAAATCTATCTCATCTATTTCTTTTAAAAGTATCTTATATTTATTTCACTTTACCTTTTTCTCACTCTAATA